AGTCTTCACAGAAGCAAAGCCCAAACCACACCCACTGCCGTGGAGTCCATTCTGACCCACAGCGCCCCTAGAGGACAGAGTGGAACTGCCCACAGGGTTGGGAGCTCTGGTAGTGTAGTGCTTAAGGCATATGACTGCTAACCAGAAGGCTGGCGGTTCAAACCCATGAGCCACTCCTTGGAAGGAAGATTGGGCAATCTACTTCCGTAGTGATACCACTTTGGAACCCCAAGGAGGGGTTGCTTTGAGTTGGATCTGAATAGACAGCAGTGACTTTGATACGGTTTTTGGTTAATCTTTACAGAAGCACACTGCACTGCTTCATCTTCCTCCCGAGGAGCAGCTGGTGGGTTTGAACTACCAGCCTTCTGGTTAGCAGCCCCAAAAGAATACAGATGCTGTTGTGTTTCATCTGGTGGCAGGACGGTGGCAGGTTTCTTCTTCCCTTTTGTGGCCTCTGTGGTTGATGTTTCTATAATGAAAATTGCTTTGCATAAAAAATGAAATGTGAAAATGATCCAGTTTATGACACTAACGACCTTCTCATTCCATTATGTAAGAAGCTTGACAAGTGCAGTTCGTTAGCTGTTAAACAAGAAATCCGCATATAGATTCAAACACATGCTTTTTGACACCGCAAGCTTCCAACAAGATCTGTGTACGTGTTTACGTGTCAGCTGGCTGACTGCAACAGCTGTTTCAGGTGCGGTGTGCTCATCCCGTCCGCCTTTCCTTGGGGAGGTCATAAACGTCTCCTGTCCTTTTACCCAACAAGTCACGGAAGGATGTATGTTCCTTACTGCGAGGGGGAGCTGTCTTTACACTCCTTTCATCCAAGCCCAAGATCAAACCAAATGGATCTGCTCCAAAAAAATAAAAAGTGTCCCAAACAACTTCTTTTATTTCAAAGGAAAGATCAAAGAGCATTTGGAATGCTCATTGACTGCCTTCCACTGGAATCAAAAGATAGAAACCAAAGAGGACCACGGTCAAGGGCTTGTGTTTCCAGCCAGGCTCGCCCTTGAGAGACGTTACCAGGAAATGGCGGACTCGACCTCGTGCGTCCAAATCATGCGTCCAGCAAGGTGTCACTGTCACTGGCTTCAGCAGCTTGGACTTTGGGCACAGTGAGGCTCAGCGCCACACACCAGGAGGATGTCTGCTGTCCACTTGCCGAGTCTGCCTTCCATTCCAAAGAGCGTGTTGGCATCTAGCTCTTTGTCTCACGTGCCCAGCCCAGATGCTGGCTGCCCAAGCTGCCACCTCTGCAAGGACCATTCGGATCCAACTGTTGGGAGGGGGGGCGGTCTCTTTTCTGGACAAGAAATATTCTTTGGCATTGTCCCCATCCTTCTGCCTGAGAGACTGGCTACAATCAAGGTGGAGCTGCCCTTGTGGCGTCACCTGCATTTGAGCTGTGAGGACAAAGGCAATCATCCATGCCCCATACATGCTGCCTTGGCCAGTCATCACTGTCCTTCCTACTTCATAAAGCAGCTGCTCAGCCCTGGCCACCAGGAGCAGGTTTGGATTTGGGACTGTGAGGCATTTGTTGTTTTTTTTGGGTGCTGTTGAGTCAATTCTGATGCATAGCAATCCCAAATGGCAGAGTAGAACTGCCCCTAACAGGTCTCCAAGGCTGTCAATCTTCACAGAAGCAGAGCCCAAACCACACCCACTGCCCTGGAGTCGATTCTGACCCACAGCGCCCCTAGAGGACAGAGTGGAACTGCCCCACAGGGTCTCCCAGGCTGTCAATCTTCACAGAAGCAAAGCCCAAACCACACCCACTGCCGTGGAGTCCATTCTGACCCACAGCGCCCCTAG